ATCCGTCCATATAAGTGCAGAACTGATGTTTTTAAATTCTCTTTTTTTCCACGGTCTGTTGAGGATTGGAATAAGCTTCCTAATGACATTGTAGAAACTTTGATGCCAAAGCTGTTCTTTGAGAAAATTCAATCAATTGTTTAAATTTTCATATGATTTAGTCTTTAAAAGTGTAGTAGTGTTTTCTTCTTTCTTTCGTGTATAACGATGTATATTGTGCCCCCCCCCCTACTGTAATGCCTTCTAGGCAATGTAGGTACTCTAATAAATAATAAATAAATAATTAAATTGCCAACATCTTCCTGCAAAAAATACGGACAGCAAAAAAAGATTCGCGTTTAATGAGTCTAAATGCCAAAGGGACTTCTTACAAAATATGAGTACCGTTCAGTATATTTCGCTTATTAATTACATCTGATTGAAAGTATTAGTTGGTACGTTTAGAGGTACGATTTTCATTCCAAACGCTCTGGGGATCAACCAAAACCATTAAATCAGCGCTCTTTACAAGAATATAAGGGAGGTAAATCGAGCGGCCTTACGAAGAAAAAGGAAACAGTAGTTTTTAAAGCCTTTTTTACTTTACAATTTCTTTCAGAAAGAATCTCGGCGCCCGCGGTACTGCTCCTCGAGGCCAAAGCGCATAACTGCCGCCTCATTTCCTTCGTAGGAGACGGGAGTGTGGCGCGATATTGATGTTCACCTCCGTCATACCAAAGGCATCTACACAGGTTTGCGTTTAAACGAGTTTTAAGTGCGGAACGATGTGCTTGTGAACGAAGAGCGCAGGTACAAAGCGCGCAATAATGCAAGACCACGCAGCGCAATGCAAAAGAGTAGAGCCCGGCTAAAATCTCTAGCACGGCGTGCGGCAGTGAATCAATGAGAATGCGATAAAATAAATTGAGGTTCAGGTGTTTGTTTGCGGCCCTCAGCTACGCGCATCCGGTTGCCCGTCCAGAAATAAAATCCTGCAGATTTGTTTCCTGGGTAGCGGTGGCTGCGTGGCAGCGGTTGATTTTGCCATGTTGCAATGCTTCAAGCTTAACAAAAATCGGGGAAGCAAGCTCGATCGCCAAAAGACCGGCCATGTCGACGCTATCGTCGGGCGCAGTCATATTTTCTGTGAGATCTGCTTGCTATTGGTGAGCCAGAAGGGACAATAACGCTTTCTTTTTTCTCTTGAAAACGGTCGCCTGCATTTTAAGGCAATTCTGTGTTCAAGCTTACGGCAATGGCTCTACGTAACACTCTACATCCGCTTACCACGCTACAGTTAAAAGCAACTGTCTATATGGACCTTAAAGATGCGTGTCGGGGCACATCCGTTGTGTACTGCGGTCACAGCGAGCAGAGCTGTTTATACTCACGACAGGTAGCGAAGATCAAAACTTCTTGCCGCTCCTATAAGCACCCCGGTAATCCTCTTAAGCGCAATAAGGGTGTATTCAGATTTGCTTCGCTGGCACATGCTCATACTAGGACAATGGTGAAGCGTCACAATCTTCCTGTGTCAAAAACACCGGCAGAAATACTTTGCAGAGGCCGACGTGATGAACTCAAGAGATGCATATCACCTTGAGGAGTTCCAGATATAGGTGTGGCCCCTGGTATCGAGCCTTATTCGCACGCACACATATTGCTACATTTGTTGAAGCATAAGCCATGGTTCTGGTTACAATTCGGGGCTGTCTGGCCAACGCACAACATGTTGAGGCATGTAACCCTAACGAAAAATACACCAGGCAATCCTGTTGTGACATCAAAGAATCCTGGTGTGACACCAGAAGATCTTGTGTGCCCACAAGCAACGGTAGTGTATCGAGCACCCCAGCCTGTTGTGCCCACGAGAAATGCTTGTGTACCCGCACACCAGCGTGGTGGGCACACCAAGAGAGTCTGCTGTCACAACACACGGGCTCATGTGCCCATTAGGCAGCCTGGTGTGCACACCGCACAGTTTGATGTGACAGCGGTGTTGTATTTTTGTGGACTTTTCTCCCTGCCCGCGAGCGTGCTTTTGATTATATTGTGCGACGCCCCTTCCCCCGACGTGATGCCTCGTTTCTCCCGTCTTGGTGGCCGCCGGAAACACCGCGGCGGGCTCCTTTGTGCTCAAGAAGTGTCGCCCTCGTTCCCAGCACTTTGCCGGGCTGCCTTGAGCATCTTGGGGCGCTCGCTTTTCGGGGGTTTTCTGTTTTCTTTCCGCCAGTATTCTTGTTGAAGTTTGAGAAAATAAAGGAGTCTTCTCTGTGAGTCGAAGCCGAAAAGATGTGTGTTGCGCTTTCCTGACTTTCGACAAGCTAAAGATTGTTAAACATGGTCTCCTAGCAAAACAACAAAGAAAGCAAGTAATTATTACAGTTGTTGTTGCCGACACCCGGGATTTAACGGCAAGACTATGCCTACTACGAGCCAGGAGCGCGTCGACCGCCTGAAGCGAAAGAGGACTACCCTGCGAACCGCCATAACGAAGATCATCAACGAGACTGGCGTCCTGCTGGCAACGGTTTCAACCGACATCGGTGAGCTGGAAGAAAGATTTGATATTCTTCCTATTTAAGGAGGCTTCCCTGAAAGAGCTGGACAATGAATTCGAGCCATCTGTCGAATATGATGCCTTGGAACAGGAGATAACTGGCGCGGAGGGGTACGTGGAACTGATCAGCGTAACTAAGACACAAGTCAACCACGAGCTGAAAGGCCAAAAATTGCGGTACGACAGGGCGTCCGGTGCTTCGACGCAGGGAAGTAGCTCCGGACAAGCTCCAGTTAATCACGGCCGACTCCCTACAGCAGTACGGCTTCCGAAGCCTTATTGTTATTTTTTTCTTTTTTGAAAAAAGTAACTATGACATCAGCGTTATTGTCAAGCTTATCATCGTACCCTTTTTGTGAGTAAAGCAACAGGCAGTCAACAAGTGTTTTGTTATCAAGCCACAACAAAACCTGATGTTACTCCAGAACACCAGATTGCCGGTGGCACACCCAGAACATCAGGTTGCTGGTGTCACACCAGCACACCAGACTTCAAGTGTCACACCATAACGCCAGATTGCTGGTGTGAAAATGTCCTAGATCACATCTGTGAAAAAGTCTGGTGTCACGTCAAGTCGCACCCACCAGCCATCGGCCCGGTATAGTTTTCGCTAGAGAATAATCTCCATTTTCTATCATGTTTGTCTTTGGTAGAAGTTGTTTTTAAAACTTCCGTGAGAGGAACTGACAGATAAATTCACTGTACTTCGTAAGCATCATTTCGTCGTTCATCAGTACCTTTGTGACACATGCCAAACGTTTTCTTGCCATTTATTTCTTGTCGACAAACTGAAGGTTCAACGGCTTTCAATGAAGGGCTACCTCACCTTGACCGTCAACGCTCTGAAGCATGATGTGTATGCTGTCAGAGCTTCCTTGTCCCCTTAATCAGATGCCAGGGTCTGTAATAGACAGCACGGATCCGAATACCGATGCCGCTGTGGGGCTTCCAGGCAATGTTTATTTTAGCTGTGCATATCTTTCAGCAAAATTGGTGCTCGACTCTGTTTCTTTTTTATGACGTTTTCTGCTATTTCGAAAAGGTAGAGGGTAATGTATTCTTTGTCAAATGCCTCGGGCTCCATTTGGTTAGATAATTAGTTTTTTAGAAAGGTTTGTGGACTTCTTTTGTCATAAAGAACACGTAGGAGAGTTCTTTGCTCTTTTCAACAAGCTCAGGCTTGCGCCGTTTGAACTTAACACAAGAGAAGCTTTCTCGTCTTCAGTCTGCTGCGGAGTGCACCTCGGTTGCGGTGTTCCTACTTTGCTTCCGTTTTGTTTTACATTGGAATACTTTCGGTGGCATTTCTTGGAGGTGTGTTTCTTGAACGAACAGCGGAAGCATCTACCTGCAGCTCGAAGTCACTTTTTTGTCCTCTGGAGAACGCGATGCCAGGCAATCTTAAGTCACTTGATTTTTAGCAGGACAGCATGCTTGGAGCCGCGCGTTAAAAAAAAGAAAAAAGAAAAAGGGCTGATGCATGGACAGTCCATTCCGTTTTTCTGTTCCTTTCTGGTGAATAGCCCTCTTGTCTTTCGCGGTTAAAAAATTAGAGCTTTCTCCCACCTCTCCGCTCTCATATTAGAGAGACGTTGCAAACTCTATTTTTAAACAATAATTGTCCTTAACTAAAGAATGCCGACATTGTCATACTCGACTATGAAACATTCTGGCAGCATTCTCTGCCTCTGCAAAGGACTGAATTATACGTTATATAATTTAAAATATTCTGTAGTTCCGTTTCTGTAACATTTAATAATGACATTTATGGAACGTATGGTGTACAGCTCTGGCGAGCGCACTACGCCTCGTTTTCTTTTTAAATATAAAAAGCAGAGCAAAGTATTGGCGTATATAATCACTCCACCCTTCCGTATTTTTTTGCGTTTTCTCAATATGGAGACTTTCGATTACTGAGCCAGCTGCAGTTTGGCAAACCGGGATATCAGCGGGGACTATGTTAAAAAAATAAGAAAATAAGACATAAAAATAAAATATAGAACATTGAGCTGAATATAATTTCATCAGCAAAAGTGTTGTGAGCTGGCGAGTTGGTATGATGACCTAGTATGATCCGTATAAATTTGGTTGCGAGTCACTGCTTGTGTCGTGCATGCTGCTATCATATGTCCCTGTATTTTTGTGCGCTGTACTGTTCACTATGTTAAATAAATCATTTGTTCTACCCTCCCCAAATTGAAATCCAACGTACATTGTGAGCTGCTTAACATCAAGTAAAATCACTATACTTTTTTATAACGATGTTTGCGACGCGAATTGAAAAGCAGAATGTGGCGTGGACGGATCTCGTGATCCGAATGATTTTTGTTCATTTTTCAAAATTAAAGTTTTATTTAAGACAGAGAAGGACACATTACCGTGATTAACAGATTTACAAACGTGGGGTGTCGCAATCCTCGTGCATTGTCTTGTACGCACCGGAGATCCGATCACAATGCAATCACACTTGTTTGCATTTACACGTAGAGTTCTGAATGCACGGGATAATGAAGTCTTCCATGAAGGGCTTGATTCTAATGAAGAGCATCGGGACATCAGTGACGTTGCATGGCATCTCGGTAGCGCTCACCAATCCCATCAAACACCAGCGGCCATCTTTGTTCTTGTACACTAAGGGGCCTCCGCTGTCTCCCTGTTAGGGAAGGAATGTTAGTATGCATTCAGTATCGCGTATAGTCCCTGGTGAGATAAAGTACAATTTGTCGGTATTCGAAAGTTGGCCCAACGTATGTCGCGATCGAACTTTACGTCCATCTGGTTTTAATAAAGGTACCTGCTGAAGATATCTAAATATAAAGTTTTGGTCAAAACAAATACGAGCTGCGACTAGCGAGGCATTTCCCGCCCGGATTTACTTCTCTCGTCTACACCTAGCTCGACAATCGCCATTTCAATCGTAGGCGCACGCTTGAATTGCTGTTCTTCCTAAAAGCCCCCCCCCCCCCCCCCCCCAAAAAAAGAAAAAAGTAATAAGAAACGTTTTCTTTCAACAGTCTAGTTAAAACACCTGAGCCAAAAAAAAAATGAATGTTACGCGAGAAAAAAAAAATAGTTTAACAGCAATATTGACGGCGAGAGATTTATCTGAAATTCTGCGCGCAAAGTCCACGACGTCACGGAATGGTTATTCGCTCAACGAGATGGCAATTCGCTCTTAACACCTCAACGTGAAGGCGAAGCCCAACATCCTGTTCTCCTCGTGCCCGAAATGCCGAGAGAGAAAACAGGTGAAAAGGAGGTGAACTACCGCTTAAATCGAGTCTCGCACCATCAATATTGATCTAAAACTTTTTTTTTCTGTGTTAAATTGATTTTTTGACAAGCGTGTTCTAACCAGACTGTTTACAAAAAGCATTCTTGTTGTTTGAGAGGCCTTTTAAGCGAGCGACCGCTGAATTTCGTTTCAGCTTCAAGTGATACTGACATGGAAATAGAAATGTACCCCTCACGTTCAGAAATGACTTAAACCTGATCAACGAAATCTGCTAATGACAATCTTACGTTTCTATCTTAAACGAATGACTTTAATTATTTATTGTTATCTTTTTTCTTTCAAACGACCAATTTTAGCGAGCGCTCCTAGAGCAGCCATCGGATAGTGCAATGCGTCTCTAGAAATCCGGGGCCCCCAGCGCGTTCGTGACGTCATTTTTTACATCACTGGCAAGGCTGCAGGAAGGCTGGTGTGGTTTTAAGCTTCACCTCTCGGTAGCGTCAACGCGTTACAACCTGGTCGTCCGAGATTGCCGTTCCCCGCGGGAGTTGAATAGACGCGGAAGACAAGAAAACTCCGGTTCGTCCAAGTTTGACAGCTCTCGAGCGCAGGCAGCTTGTAGCTGTACACATTCGGTTTATTTCTTTTTAAATCATGTTAGGTGTCATTTTGATCAAAACGTCAGTGTCTCCGTGGTGTGGCCAAAACGCCGCTGGCATCAAAACAATAGCATAGGCGTGAGAATTTCGTTGTTGTACTCCTTTCAGTCCACGCGCAGCCGACCCTACGAGCTAAAGGGAAGGGAGTGATAAAGCAGAGTTAAAACCAACTTGCTAAGCCTTTTAAGAGTGAAGCTGTCTATAGCTTGGTTCTGTCGGGTGGTCTCTGGCGACAGACCGAGCGTAGACAAACAATTCTCAAACGCAAAGATGTATGCACCACTTTATACTCCTCTCCACCACCGCTGCCTCCTTTCCGAGTCGTGTATCCTCCTCGCCATGCGTGGCGTGTTTCTTCCTCCTGACATTGCGCAATGCCGCGCGCTCTTCGGCGGCCACCCGTGCGGCACACTAGAGCCTGCGCCGTGATTCACGTAGCCGCGCTATAATAGAACGTAATTGTTCCTAACCACCAATCGTGTGTGTCCTTTGTCTGTGACGTAGAAATCGCTCCACTGTCATCAGTCGGACTTCATACTTCACATGGGTCGCAACCGTGTTGTACGTTCCGAAAAGGAGCAGCGCGAGTACGAGGAGCGCCGCCGAGCCCAGAAGCGAGAATGGGCACGCCGCCAACGTGAAACCGCCGTTGTCGCTGTTGCTCGCGTCCGCGCTCGACGCGAGCAGCAGCATCAATTAAACCGGCGCCGTAGAGCCGATGCCACCGACGATGATCGAGCAAGAGAAGGCAAACGCAACCGCCACGCATATCACCGTGACGCCAAACCATAGCATAGCGAATCGCCAATACAGCTAAACACCAAAATAGCAAATCCCACCAGAGAGCGAGATTCGCTGGAGTTCCCACTTCAGGGTGTGGGGAGGGGGGGGGGGGGGGTGGAAGGGCTTTCAATTTGTTTAGCTATCGGCTCAACGATGATGAAACGCGTCAAGAAACAGGACGAACACCAGGAATTCCGTTTCACACATTTTCGTTTACCGCACTGTGCTGCGTTGCGTCGTGTAGCGCAGCGCCGGCACATTGGCTCGTCGTAAGGATCGCCATAGCAACATCTCGACGCAAGCAGTCTTAACGAAGTCAAACGCAGTCAAAAGAACTGTAAACGAACCTTAGAGCTGCGATTTGACGGTGCCTGAACGGTCCTATGAATTCTTAGCGTCGGCTGGGTCTCGCCTTAAAGTGAAACGAAGTATGTTATTCGCGTGGAAAGAAGAGCGTCCGGATTTGCGCAATGTTTTCTACGAAAGAGATTCACCTCACTGTGCGTTTCTTGTTTCAGTCAACAAGGGTTATATTTATGGCAGCACATTATGCGTTAATAACGTATAAACCACCATGCGAGGGGAGTATTAAAGAACGGCACCCCTTTTATATCAAATGGGTATAAAGAAAGAACCCAGAGTCCTCCAGGAGCTATTTGTCCATTACCTATATATTTCGCAGCTGTTTATAATAGTGTGACAAAGTGGCGACAAGATAATACAGATATTGTAAATACAATGTGACGTTTTATTTGAAATTAAAATGACGTCTTAATTTTACAGAGTATTTTATTATATTGCCCATACTGTTGTTCTGTCGTGATAAAAAATTAAGGGTAGTATTAGGTGCCCGTTTGTATCCGTTCGTACCTGTATAAATGTTTTTATAACTATGGCGGGATATGAAAAACAACACTGTCTTTCAAGCAACATGACTCTTGATTCAAACTTTCGCATAATAAGAAAGGCAATGATCAAGGTATTTACACAGATTGCGAATATTTGTATTCGCCGCAAGTTTTCAGTTGATGTCTCAGGAAGTACTGAAATATGGTCGGTTGTTCATTAGTACGCTTATACTGTCAGTGTCTGGTGGGGTGAACGTCCGAACGCGCTAACATAGGTATTGCTATTTAACAACGGCACTGGTGGCAAAAGTGTCATTTATTATTAAACTCTTAACACTTAAGAAATATTCCTTTTAACATACTCCCTTCCCGTATATCTGCACCGTTGCCTATGGGCTTTTCATTGTTGGAAACAATTTTGCTGGTCATCATGTGTCCAGCTCTTAAGCAGCACTGCCGTTTCCTTATTTACCTCGTCCAAAGTCTGACACTGGGTTCATTTTAGTGCATATTTTACCTTAGGAAACAGGTAAAAGTCACGTGGAGCTAAATCGGGAGAGTAAAGTGCGTGGTCCTGCACTCGGATCATCTTATTCCACAGAAACTGCTTTACGCAAAGAGCACTCTGAGCTGGAGCACTGTCCTGATGTAGAATCCACGCTTCGTTCTTTGCACAAAATGGACCTCACCATCATCACTCGCTCACTCACCCTGTAAGAAACTTCAATGTATTACTTATGATTAACCGCCTGACCCTGTGGTACCCATTAAATCATAACCATTTCATCAATATCAAAGAAAACAATCAGCGTTGCCTTCATTTTCCACTTGCTAATTGCCTTTTTCATTCTTGGCGAAGTGGGAGTTATCCAGTGCATCTATAGCACTTTCATTTTCGAATCGTACTGAACAAGCCACGTCTCGCCGCATTTTTTAATTTTTTTTTCGGTGATTCGCCTTCCGCTGCGAGTCGTTCTATGAAGTCAGTGCAAATGTGTTTCCAAACGTACTTTAGCTCCTGACTTACATTTTTGGAAGCATTTTGGCTCAGACTTTGTGCATGTTCTATTCATTTATTATGTAAAATTTGTAGTATAGTTTCCTTATCCATATTTACCATGTCTGCTATAACCGGAATGTTTAATCAACGATCATCGCGAAAACTTTTGACGATTTTCATATTGTCCCGTTCCGTTGTGGTCGTGACGGGGCGAATGGGTCGTTCGTCGTGCGCAATGTTGTCTCGTTCCACGGTAAATCGTTTGTACCACTGAAATGCTCGCGTACGTTGCATCACATTATCACTGAATACTTCCTGCAACAGTTTCGAACACACAATCGGCAATTTCTTCAAATTCACAAGAGACTTGACGTTTATCCACTTCTAGAGATTAGAATCAGTCATATTGTCTTTTCTATTTTCACGTTTGTCTCGTCTGGCCTATCTCTCGTCGGCTAACGGGATGTCTGTTTTCAATCCGGTTTCAATCGTCTGCTTTCGTGGGATTCTAGGTTACTCACCTTGAGTTTCCCACTGCTACCAGCATACCGCGTACAACGCGCCCAGTCCCGTTATTTGATAGCAACACGATAGACGCTAGGCAAGGGCCAGTAAACTATGCCAAGCTTGTGCTTGACAAGTGCCTTTGTTTTCAGGAAATTAAAGCTTGGTCTATATCAAATAATCTAACAATACATAAAGACAAAACTAAAGCTAGCATAGCTTTAGTTTAGTCCCCAAAACAGGAAAATTACCCTTTCGAGCGACATCGTTCTGTACTCGTCCCCTATTGCAATGTTCGACACGTTCAAGACATTGGACGTGTTGTTTTCAAACAACATGTCTTGGACAGCTCACTTAGATTACGTCATTTCAAAACTTGCTCGTATAATAGTTTGATACATATACACCGTCTAATTCTTCCATCAAGTGTTAAACTACTTCTTTATAACACATTATTTGTATCTCATTTGAACTATTGTCTTTTGGTATGGGGTACCACTACTAAAACAAATTTACATAAAATATTCTTACTGCAAAAGAGAGCGTTAAGACTCGTGTGTGACGTGCCTTATCTTTTTGACAAGTACCAAATTTTTGAAAAACTCGGGGTACCTAAAATACATCAACAATATGAACACAGGCTTATCATGAAGTATAAACAAGAATATCCTGTGATAAATAGCTTCCTGCTAAGCTTGGCATCCCTTAGGAAAGAGAGCTTACACATTCTACTCGCCACTCAGATTTCTGGATGGTTGATACATCGCGTACAGATTACGGTCTTCAGATGATTAGAAATACACTTCCAACGTTACTAAACACTTTCCTGAATTCGAATGTGGATATATTATCTTCTAGCCCGCGTGAGTTACGTGGCTATCTACTTTTTATATAAAGATGTTGTTTATCATTTGTCTAGTCTTAATGCAAACTTTTCTTGATCATTTTTTATGTGAATTTGACGGCCTGTTGGTCATCTTCTTTTTGTTTCACCATAACAGCGTTTTGTGGTTGTTTCCGTTTATCTTGCTGTAGCTTTTTTCTTGCTTGTATGAAACTTGGCCCCGCTGTGTACCTGTTGAGCGGGCTGGAGACCCGTCAAGCTGCTTTGTCAGCTTTTTTCTGCATCTCCCACCGTATGTGATATGGTGAATAAAGTTATTATTATATATCAATACTGTGTATAGGATCATCACTCTTTTTCTTGCTCTCACCAAGCAGAATGATCCAAAGTTATGATTGGCGCAGACGATGTTCTTTGAAATTGACGACTCATTCATTAGCTTCGCACAAACATCGTTCGAGATTAGTTGCACTTGGGCTTGTTGGAGCATCTCAGGAACTTTATTATAAACCTCGGAGGTTGGTGTCGCGAACTCGCTGGAATCATATTCATATTCGTATTCAGAAGGCGACATGTCTGAAAAATATATTGATAGAAAGTGTGAGACGAGTTAAACAAGTCGAGACAAAGAACAGAGTCGTACGACCTTCTCACTTATAACCAAACCCGTTTGCTCGTTGATATTTGAACTACTAGGTGTTATTGACAGTTGAAAGTGTTTTACTTGGCCGGCCTCTGACTTTACTTTTCAGCCATAGTTTATTTCAAATGGTTAATCATGATATGAACCTCTGTTTCAAAGTCGACCTAGTTTTGATAACAGTAAAACATTATTCAAGGGTTCAACGTATTACGTTGTGCCCCATCAAAGACATTTGGTTGTTTATGGGCACAAAAATAAAGACATGATGATGACAGCGATTTTATATATAGCTGCTGTGCGAAAATAACGTAAACAAGGTCAATTAGTATAGAAATGTTGAGTGTTTTTACATATAAAGTTGTTTTTTAACCAGTGAGAACTTCAGAACGTCAGGCGTGACCCGGTACACACAACACCGCTATCCACATAGCCCGATTGTCATGCACCGCAACTAATAGAGGCTCGAAGTTTCTTTAAAAAATAGTTAAGTCAAGTATACTCTGCCCTGCACGCTTGCAAAAGTCCTCTGTTGGTAGAATTTGGACCTATTTTGCCGCTTAAAAGGGTGTGAAGTGCAGCGCAGACATATAAACAACAACATCAAGGGAAATAAAATACACAGAGGCCAATATAGAAATGTGTTCGATTTGATCAAATGTAAACGATATAAAGTCAACTTAGAAAGCACGGTTGTTTCGCGACATTACGCTCTTTAGCTATCTCGGAAGGGATCAATACTGAAACCTCGTTTACCCTCTTAAAACTTCCGGCTCCCTGTGAGAAGTTGGTAGCATAGTTCGCAACAGGCATCGTATCTAAAACTCTCCGTCAATCCTGTGTCTTCACATTTTTAATCTGTGTCACCCTTTTGACATATCTGCGTTTCAAGATGTGGCAAATCTTATGTGACCTAGTTACCACACCGCGTAACGCCCGTGAGCAGTAAGTAGAAAAGCTGTGAGCCAATCGCCAAGCGAAGGGCCGGGCCTAAAAGTATTCTCCCTGTCGTCTTCATTCAGTCCCCTCATCGTTTGCTTTGTACCAACTCAGTCTGTTTTAAAATGAAACATTTTTTGGCTAGGTGTTCGGCATTCGGTGAAGCCCAGATAAAAGCATGGCCGCGAGGCTCGACACTAATTGGTTTTAGTGGGGGGAAGCGGGGCGGAGTTGGGGGACGAAGCCATCTCAATAAAATAAAAAGCGTTTGCGCTAGGCGCATCGAACCCAGGCCATTTAAATTAAGAAGTCACTGTCTTTTCATTATGTAACAACACGTCACTTTTTTTTATTGGTAGGGTGAGTTGCACAGGTCACCTTACATCAAATATGCATTGCTGGCTTTTTGCAGTGCGCCCTAAAAGGTGAGTATATCAAAATCACTTTAACAGGAATAGACACACGTGCTTGAACAGCCGAATAGAAAATGCACTTTCCACTTGCTTAAATCACTTAGACTGAAAAAGTAGAAACAGACTAACTTGACACCCTGTTACACGTTTTTTGAACCCGGGTGTGTGCCGGTATCTGAATTACAGCAACTAGTATCAAGTGTACATGCCACGCGTTAAGCCAGTCGCTAAACTAACTGATAAAGCTCGCCGAGATCGTAGACGTCACCCATTTCACGTGTGACACAATTGCCCAGCAATTTGCAATGCTTTTTTGATACTCAGCTAGTGAGGTGTATTAAAGTAATAGCTAAAAATACATTGAAGGTAGGATGTTTAAACGGGCCATGCAACAATCTATGAACTTTGGTGATAATTCAGGGAGTTGTTCCCTGTCGCGTCTAGATTAAAAAATTGAAAACCAATTTTGCCCGCGCGCATCAGTTTTTTAATCGAGTCATACAATAGACGTTCTAAGCGCTTCCCAACCACTTTCTACGCTTACACAGTTTTCCGAGTCACATGCGCAATAACGTGTTCGCGGATGCAGTGAGAAGTACTGCACACGACTTATTTTTCGCGGGTTTTATATTTCGCGATTTAGGTCAAGCCTGAAGTTTTTTTTTTAATAATTCGCAGGTTATAATATTTCCGACGCAGTGGGCTCTCAATATAGATTCCAATATGTTTACATTTTGCCAGAATTGTTCACGGGACCTATATTTCGCGAAGTGCAGGCGATTCGCGATATTCGCGAAAATTATGTCCTCGCGAAGGTTAACTAGTTTACAGTATCCGACTGTGTCCTCTTTCAGAGCCTCCAGCGCGCGTGGCCTGCACTTGCGGTTCACATGATGACCTTGAAGTTCGGTTTGATTGATGTCGAGAGGGCGAAAGGGAAAGGGGGCGTGAAGTGCTCCACATCGATGTTGAAATGGCTGAAGGGGGAATAGTATTGTTGTTTTTTTTTACCTCGGGAACATCGCGTCACTAAAACTGAATAAAGTACATCTTTGTCCATGAAACGAGGCCTTTGAAGAATTTACTCCTTTCCAGACGACAATATTTAGAGAATATAGCGTCAGATTGGGCACATAATGGCATATGTTGCCAACTTCTTAAGATGCAGCCAGGTGTGCGTCACGCTTTATTTTCCATGGCTGTGACATCGTGACTGCGTATTGCGAAATATTCCTGCTCTCTGCTTTGCTATTAGGCAACGGAATCGCGATATTTCAGAATAATGAGGCGTTTTTTATTCATTTTGGTCAGATAAAGAATGTGAGAATTAAAAACTGCAAATTCTTTCGAAATTAAAATTGTTGCATCGCCCCTTAACCATGAATCGCTAGAAAGAAAATTATCAGGCATTTAAAATATATTGTTACTCATAATGTCAAAACCGGAGACACAGGTAAACATAAAAAAACGTTGAAGAGAAAAATAGAGAAAGAGCAAGGAACGTCTTAATCTCGGCTGAGTTATGAGATGTTCCACATTTTGTCTTTTTATGCGATTTAAAAGATTACTACATTTTTTCTGACGACAGTCTCGAGTTTGGCATGTTGTGGGTACCTAGCACCCGCTCGTCTGTGCTCTTAGTGTGTTTTTAGTTAGGCTTAGGTTGCTAGAACAGAATTCTCGACGCATTAAAGGCGCTAAGCCTTTGCAGCCTTGATTTCCGGTTAGAAAGGCTCTTTCTGTCACTAAATCCTAGGGGGATCGTCGGCCGAGTGGGCCAGCGCACACAAGACTCTAGCGCACACCAGCTCGGAATATGTAGAGTGAAAGCGCGTGCTGCAGAACCCAGAGATCCTGGGCTCATTCCCCACCCCTGCCCGTTTCTATCTGAATGAGCGTCGTACCGGCGTGCAGTTGTCTATCACAAAAGCATAGCGCACGTCCAAAACTTCAGCCTAGCGGTTGTACTGTACCGGTTAAAATCCTCATCTACAGCTCAGACACCAGACGACAATTTAGGCTAACTTCCGGTTGCATCAACATACACACAATACTATTCATCACTACTTCGTGGTTTGATTATCACGCTTTCAGATCAGGGTAGAATATGATGAATAAACATCAAGCAGAAGCTGTCAACATAGAGCGAGAAAATTATAGCTGCATTGAAGTTTCTGAATCATTCCTACTAAAAAGATGTCTACAACACCTAGCGTCTACATGGACCTCCAGTGATCTAGACACATGCGTTAGTATGGCAAACTATGTCAAGGCTTAACCACACCTTCGCGCATCAATATACCGCACCTTTATCTCCTTTTCGCGATTCGTTTTCCGAATCAGACTCTTCTTGTACATTTTTGTGGTCTTTCAAAGATATCCCTTCGGCAGTCCAGGAAAGAAACTGGTCATTATACTCCAACGCTGCACAGAGTAGAAAGAAATCGCTATCAGTGGCAGGTTAACACAGGTGACTTGCAAAGAAGCTGGTAATTTAAGAACCCTCCGGCGTCTAAACTCCTGTACCGGAAATTATTATTCTAGGAGAAAGGATTAATCAATACGATTATAAATAAATATTAGTAAATAGCAGGAATAATCCCAAGGACCAGAAGAAGGACAAAGGCACTTCGCTGACTAATGATGTTCGTCTTGGTTTGTTTCTACAGGTATATGCGTGAAAAGAAAAATACACGTAAAAGAAATTCAAACCTGTTATGTTTATGTCTAGCCACCCATCACACGTAGCACAGTCCTTCGAACAAATTACACCAATACTTTCATGAAGTCGAACTCCTGTAAAAAATTGTGATGGACTCTGCTTATGTGCCGGTGTTGACTGTGTGTATGGATGTAATACGCTTCATAAATCTCTCTTGCCGTTTTTTTTTTTCAATTTGTTTTTCTAGAATTTTTATTACCAAAATAGAGTGAACATCTACATTGCTTCCAATGTACAGCTAAGTGTTCTGAGGATGCATCTCTTGAACTCAAGGAGTTTCCCCTGCCTAGTATGAATTAGTTCTTTGTGGGAACGGAGTGTTTGAAAATAAGGCATGATGTTGCCCGCAGTTTGCTGGCTTGGCGATTACAGTAACAAGCTTTTCAGAGAATTTGTGAGCGGCGGCGCTAACAACAACATGTTCTAAATCTACGAAACCTTGCAGGCTGAGGCAGTGCGAAGCGTGTCAACTTATCAAGGTACAAGGAAGACTGGCATCACCGCCCGTCTGCAGTTGCCGTTGTGGTCTGCGATCGTCTCGTCCCTTCCTGCCCATCGGTGATTAGCCGGCTACACTACGTGCCGTGCGCAGGTCGTACACAAAAGAAGGCGCACATCACCGAGCCCATCATTTGGCAGCGGCGGTGGCAACGAAAACACGTTCTAAATCTACGAAACCTTGCAGGTCGGTTTGAAATTTACTTAACTCGTTAAATGTTACTTTAGCTGTAGCTGCTACCAAGCTTATCGTGTTTGTGTCAGATTTTTTTTCTGTTTGTTACTATGACTAAAGCGGTAGTCAATCTGACTAATGATTTTAAAGATGACCTCGAGTAGGATCTCAAGGAGTGCCCTTGCAACAAATTCCCGAAGTCTTAAAGGTGGGGAATGGGGTAACGGTCTGGCACTGTCACGTTGTTCAGAGAGCACGATAGTCACGACATGCACGCCAGTCGCCAGACTTTCTTGGTACCATGTGTAAGGCTGATGACCAAGCACTTGTTGAAGGACTTACGATGCCGAGTTCGATCATATGTTCGAACTCCTCCCGAGCGATTTGAGCCGATCAGGAGCGAGGCATCGAGGTCATGCGAAGACTGGTGTGCCAGCTGTTTTTATAGGATGTATGATGGTGTGCTTTACTGCCTCTGCTGTGTTAATTGGTCGGAGTAGCTGAGGAGACTCATCTAGAAGTGACTTCTAATTAGCCCTTGAGACCTGCGTCGATATAGTGAGTTTGTTGGCTTTTTCACCCAGAAGTTGTCTCATACGCCGAGGGAGTTCTGATGGCTTTCGGTCCCTAAGTTCTTCTTACTTCAAAAGTTGTTGAAGCCGGCGTTGTTCAGACTCGGTTGTACGCCGTATCAGTTCAGACTTGGGACTGTCGTACGGCGGCTCTTGAGGGGGTGCACGGAAGATGACCCGAACCACAGCTGCCGTCGTTTGTGGCAGGGATGAGACCACATGGCCGAATCTTGACTACTGGGATGTTGTTTTGTTATTGCGGAACGACGACTTAATGATAAGTAACCAAAATTCCGAATGTGGTCTCCAAAACGCAGGCAGTTTATAGTTGATTGAAGCAGCTTCGGCAGCTGCTAAACTCTCTTCTGTGGAGAACATCGCTGCTTGATATGTTGGGGTAGTTTCGATAATAAAAGCACGGATGATCAAATGGAAACAAGGAGACTTGCCGTGATAGACGAGGGGTAATTTAACACCGCAGCTTGGGCTAGTTGGTTTTCCATCGTAGTACTTCACAGCGCATAAACGTCTGTGCTGTGTGCATAGACGTCAGCGCTGCGTGTGTGTTTGTGTCTAAAATTGAGTGGGTTCCTGCTTTTGTGAGACGTTTATGCGCTGTGAATTCCTAAAAATAATTTAAGTCTGAGAAGGTGGGTCACCATTTGTGGATGGATATTTACAGCAGGAGTCGTGTAACCAACAAAGGTATTTTATTTACATAGCTACAAGTAGATATGATTAAAGATTGTTCATCGCGTGCTTAGGTGGTTGAAACGGTGCGACGGCTAGCTCCGTGCCCGTGCCTCAAGTGAATCACGTCATCAACGCTTCTAACAAGGTATTCCGAGTGTCCTTTGAGAGGGAAATCAGGACCCAATTACGTGAGATACGAGCTGGCTTAAGAAAGCTAACTGAAACAAAGGAGGGAATGAGCTTCATTAACAATGATCATGAGTCTATAAAAGAGTCATTGGCTTCAATCAAAAACGAGAACTCGATTCTGAAGAAACGAAATGCTGAACTGAACGAAAAATGTGGCCAGATGACCAGGACGTTGAAAGAAGTTGAAAACAAGCTAGTCAGTTGTGATCAATATTCGCATAATAGCAATCTTCAGGCGAAGGGAATTCCCAGGAGCGAAGCAGAAGATGTCGACCATCTGATAAGTACGCTCAGTGACGTAGTCGGCGAGCTGATAACCAACGCGGATGTTGAGGCATGCCACCGAGTGGCGACTGGAGACAGGAAGGAGGGCAACATCATCATGCGCTTCTACAACCGTAACGAGCGAGACTCCGTCTTGGAAAAGGCAAAGAAGAAATGTATTTCTTGTCGCGAGTTTTTCACCTTGACCAAGGCTCCTATTTACGTGAAGAAGCATTTGCGTCCCTATTTGAAAAAAAAATGCTTTAGATTACGGTATCCAAAGGACATGAGAGCGTCTTTGGCAATATGTGTGTGTTGGTAAAGGAAAAATACACGTAAGAAAAGCGGGCGGCACACTTGTTATCACGATTTTATAAGAGGGTGATCTGAGCCAGATATGTTGAATATTGTTGTGAATTAGTTTTGGCGAGTGTACTGGAACGGTATGGCACAAAACATTGGTGTGTTAACGCCTAATCAATTGAACCCTTTTTTAAGCAAAAAAGAGGACATAAAGTTTCGTTAATTTAAGTGTGCAATCTCCCTGGATAAAGGAAGCTGATCTCAGTAGGCTTTTTGATTCAGTCCGAACTTCATTTTATATCATCATGTTAATAACACAATAGTATAATGATAAAGATGATTTTTTGTGCAAACCAGAGATAGCCCGCTTTATTTACATCGTAAATATGGGCTCGGTGGTGGTGTTTCCCTGCAGAAAAACTTTCAGACATCGAAATTTTTATGTTCACTCTTTCGTAAACGGGACTTTGAAATAGCTTGTGTTAGAAGAAAACAGGAAATATTTGTTTGTGTTGTATGGTCCGAGAGGTGGAAACGTTACTTTTCTTTTACTTTTTAGAAACGTTACTTCGTTTCGCAAACGAGGAGGAATGTGAGCTTTTGTTGGAGAAGATGTGAATGTCAACCTACTTGAGGAATCACGTCTCAAAGATAAATTTCTTACTTCACTTATGCCTAACAACTACCGCAATATTATTGTTACTCCCACTCGTGTCACGCCCTCTTCTTCAGCACTGATCGATGTGTTTGTTGCAAATCCTGAGGAAAGTCACATTAGTGCTGTCGTTCTAGGTTATGGCCTGATGGCAACTTAACGATTATTATGTTTATAAACAAAACAGCGCTCCAGGTGACAGAGTTTCTCAACGAAACTACGGAATGCCCTATCATGACCCGAAGTATATATCATACTACACTAGAAATGTTTGCTCAATTATATATGACACAAAGTGGGACTTTGTATTTTCTGCTACATCTGCTAATGAAGCTTACAAACATTTTGTTTTAATATTTTTAAAAATATTTAAGACAAGTCTTCATATGTACGACTGGTCTTCATATATAAACATATTAAACAAATGAAAAGAAACTGTAAGATCTGGGTAACTAGATGGTGTTAAAATGATTTTAAAAAATAATAAATTATATATTACAATCCCCAAAATAATGACTCCAGAAGACCTTGGTACTTTTAAAAATATAGAAATACATCGAATACCTTCAGTAAAGCAAAGCAAACACACATTTACAATTCATTTATTGAGTCTTGCATGAATAGAACATTCGTTGTACGGAAACTGCTAAACCAAGCAATAAATCGGGGTCCTTCTGAACCAGATATACACGTAAAAAAACGATGGTATAACATTACAAAAAAAAGTGATCGCTGAAGCGTTTAATATTCACCTGACATGCATCGTTAATAGGGTATTTACCCTTTTCATTGACATGTATAAAGCCTAGAAACGAGAATAGCGCAGTTTCTTTCCCATAGGATCTTAATGAGATATTTTCGGTTATGTCATCCCTTAAATACAGCAATTCCTATGATCTCAATGATTAGCCTATCAAGCCCATTAAGCACGTTTTAGACTTTCTTTCGCTATTAACACGTATAATTAATATTTCATTGTCCTGCGGTGTTTTCATAAAGAGTTGGAGACCGCGAAAGTAGTTTTTTGTATGTGAGGGAACAAAACAAATTCTTGATTTATATACCGATACATGTGATTTTGAAATTCCTCGAAAAAAATATTCACAATAGAAAAAGAAGTTTTTCTACAAATTTCGAATTAATCACAGACTCAAAGTATGGTTTTCGTAAAGGTCGATGAACAGAGCTCGCCTTGCTAGAGTGTAATAAATTATTTTAAAGTCGTTTGAAGTAAAAAAGTTAATTATAGGCGTGTTCATCGACTTTTCGAAGGGGTTCGACCGTAATAGGTATGTTTATAGGGTGGAACGACTTCTCAAGTAAAACTTTGTAGCTCGTTTTATTTCTGTTTCCTCGCCAACTATGTAGTAAAAAAAATAAAATTATGTCCAACTGCACATTAGTTTATTGTTTGAGACATCTAACTTCAACTCCATATAATGAAACTATGAGCGGGCAAGCTGACGGGGCTGCACCTTTTTGAAAGCGTCTAAAACCAGACTATTCGCGACTCCATCGAACAATAGAGGACGCGCTGCTCAGGCAAAATGGCGGTCGAAAGGAGGTCGTTTTCGTCGTTCAGTACGTGGACCACCACAAATTCCTGCACTGCAGCGTAAAATCAGTGTTACATTTGAAAGCAAAGCGATTCTTCGACGGTAGAAACCTTTCTCTAGTAAGGGCGTAGGAATGCAACGGCGGAATCATAAAAATGATTATTGGAAACGATGTTTGTTTCTATGCTGCCTACGAGAACCAAGCACCGATAGCAGACGACAGAGTCGAAACGTCCTCCTCTCCTGAGCTCCTGAAGCTGCCGCTACACGGCGTTGATTTCGCTGGCGTCGCGAATAGGCTTTTTTTATACACTCCGTGTTGTGTTGAACCACAACGTAATGAGTAGCTCTTACGTTCTTTGTATCCCCATCCCGCCATATACATCGGATGGTTACAATCTGGTTCGTCGTTCTTGTTCGGGAGGCAAACTGTATTAATATTTTGCGAGCAATTCACGCTGTTTTTCAGTTTTATAATGGCAATGTCATACTGCAAAGAAAAAGAACGAAAAAAGGTTATATTTTTCAATAACAATCAGCAGATATTATAATGTATCAAAAAGTTTCTTGGTGGAGCACCCAATCCACATGTTTGTCCGTTCGTCAATCCGCGTATTTACCCGCAAAATTTAGCGGAAAAATTGACGTCACCTAACTTAGCGAAACGTTACCTGTGGACAACCTATATTTATTCTTGCCAATCTGCGGCTTTCCCGCTACATTAAGCTGTTTTTTAAGTCGTCTAGCGAGAGAAATGTCCGTTTCTCGGGCAAAGCAAGTTTTATAGGTTTTCAAGTTTCGTTAGCGTTCTCTTTTTTTTTCTGTCGATCTCAGATGTTTTCGAATTTATATTTATGCATCATAAATGCCTTAACTTCTGTGGTAAGTTAGAGTAATAGGGACGTTATATTGGCTTAACCTGACAGCAAAATTTATTTCAGTGAGAGTAAGGCTTGCGATGGGCATTTGAGATATTACAGTGACACACTTTGAAACGCGCATTTGTCTGATCTGCATGTGAATGTACGCATTCGTTTTACAAGTCTGCTAGATAAAAAGGGCCAAGTGAACTATGCAAAAATTTAAGAAAACATGGGTACAATACAATTCTAAAGTGAGATACCGCTTTATGGGAGCTCCAAGGCACGTCATACGAGTCAGATACCCTAGAAAATTGCGCTCTTCGTAAACATAATAACTTCATCGCTGGAGCCCTGAACTGCCACAATATATTGCACTACTAATCGCAACTATGTAGGTGATCGTCAGCAGATGTGGAAGACGGCACCCTGGCAACATATATTAACACGTGGGTAAGATCATTGAATGTACATTTTCCTAGCATGGAAGCGACCTGAATTGGATAACATCATCATCATCATCATTTATTTTCCTTGAGGGCCCGTGGGGCATTATACAAGGGGGTGGCAATAGAACAAAAACAAATAGAACAGTAAACACAATTATAACACTGTAAGCTAGCTAGGTAGGTTAGATAAAAAGAGGGTAATGGCTTCAACAAATTTAGTAGTATCGTTAATACAAACGATGCTATGAGGTAGTGAATTCCAATCCTCGATGGCCAATGGTAGTGTGGAAGTCTGGTGAGAAACAGTTGATGATCGAATTGGACGTAATTTACATAGGTGATCTAGACGCGGGAAAATACGATGGGGAGGTGATAGCAGTGATTCTTTAAGGTGGCTATTGTGATAGAAAATTCGATGGAGGAGAGAAAGGCGTGATACTCGGCGGCGAAGGGAAAGTGAATGAAGGTTAGCTGATTGGCGTAATCCTGATATGCTGGTATATGGTGAGTAGTTGTTATAAATAAAACGAAGGGCTCTGTTTTGGACGGATTCTAGATTATTTGCAAGGTAGGACTGCCATGGGGACCATATAGATGAGGCGTATTCTAATTTCGATCTTATAAGAGTAGTATACGCTAGTCGTTTTACGGAGGGTGTAGCAAGTTTAAGGTTACGGCGCAAGTATCCGAGAGAACGGTTAGTATCAGAAATAACAGAAGTTATGTGAGTAGTCCATGATAGGTCAGAGGTGAGATGAACACCCAGGTACTTATAAGATGAGCATGCTATTACTTGAGTGTTAGAGAGGTAATACGAAAATGGTGTGGCACGCGAACTGCGGGAAATTGATAGGGATCTACATTTATTGAAGTTTAATGTCATCTGCCATTTTTCGCACCAATGGATTACAGACTCTAGGTCTTCCTGGAGAGCATGATGATCATGGTTTGAAAGAATGGGTCGGTAAATGACACAATCGTCGGCGAACAGCCGCACAGAAGAAGCGATATTAAGGTGGAGATCATTAATATAGATTAGGAACAGAAGGGGGCCCAGTACGGTTCCCTGGGGGACACCTGACGTTACGGTAGAGGTGGGAGATTTTACGTTGTTAACGGAGGAATATTGTTTACGGTTAATTAGGAATTCAGAAATCCACTTAACAACAGAGGGATGAATATTAATATCGTTAAGCTTTGTTAAAAGACGTTGGTGGGGTACTTTATCAAATGCTTTGGAGAAGTCAATGAAAATGGCGTCGGTCTGAATATTCGAATCAAAGCTTGAGTAAATATCAGTAAGGAAGGCGGTTAGCTGGGTTTCACAAGAGTAAGATTTACGAAATCCGTGCTGATGTTTAAAAAGAAGGTTATGAGAGTCAAGAAAGTTTATTATATTTGAGTAAAGTATATGCTCCATGAGCTTAGATGGAACACTGGTGAGAGAGATGGGACGGTAATTACTTATTAGTTGGCGATCACCAGTTTTGTGAACAGGTATTACGTTAGCTATTTTCCAGTCACGTGGAATTATGGAAAGCGTGAGCGATTGTGAGAAAATGTCACAGAGAAAAACAGAGGAAATATGTTTAGTGTTTATTAATACCTTCGAATTAATTTGGTCATCTCCAGAGCTCGAGGAAACCTTTAGGTTTTCTATTGCTTTCAATACGCCTGCGTGGTCAATTATGATAGGATTCATCTGGGGGTGAGTTAATGGGCATGAGTCGGGAACGTTTAGCAAGTCTTCTTTAGTAAAGATTGATGTGAAGAAATTGTTAAGGTAAAGAGCGCTATCTTCGTCTGAAAGTGGGATGCCGTTGTCGGTAATGAACTGCAATGGAAGAGACAGAGCTGGGTTGACCACTTTCCAGAACTTTTTGGGTTTATTTGTTAAAATGTTGGGGAGGTCGTGAGTATAAAACTTAATTTTAGCATCGGCAATGGCGGTTTTGTATGTTCTAGCACACGCATGATATGCATCCCACGAGGCTGCATTGTTGACAGATTTCGCTCGTTTATAAAGTCGCTTTTTCTTGTTAGCATGACTATGCACCGTTTTGTTATACCATGGGTGACAGTTATCTGATATGATGCGGGTCAATGGGATGAAGCGCTCAACTAAGTGGGATAGCTTATTTTTATAGAGCGTCCAATTTTCATTGACGGTTCTTTCCTCGAGATTAACAGAGAATGATTGGTAAAAGTCTTCGAGGCATGCGTTGATAGACACATAGTCGGCCCTCGCGTAGTCGCGAATGTATTTGCAATAATGTGATTTTCGAGGAACAGTGAGAGAGAGTGTTATGTCGATGACAAGATGGTCGCTGATTCCTGTTAAGTAGGTAACGTTGCTAAAAAGAGAAGGATCCTGACTTAAGCACAAGTCGAGTATATTGCTGCAGCAGTCGGTAATTCTAGTAGGCTGTGTGATAATATTTGTTAGGTTATAATCCAGGCAAAGATCTATAAATTCTTGAGAGGAAGTGCAAGTGGATGTGAAGGTAGACCAATTAATATTCGGGTAATTGAAATCCCCAAGAAGTACAACAGAAGCGTTAGGATATTGAGTAGCGAGTTCAGAAAGACACTTATTAAGCTCAAAGGTGAATTCCTTATTACTATCAGGTGGCCTATAACATACGCCCAGTACAACAGAGGGCGCCGTAGGGAGATAAACCCATACGACTTCTAGTGCGGTAGAAAGTGGAATGAGCCGAGACGTGATTTGATTATTAATAGCCAAAAGTACGCCTCCCCCCTTTCTAGCAATTCTGTCGCACCTGTACACACGAAAGTTTGGATAAGGAGGAAACAATTCAGCATCTGATATGTCGGGATTCAACCACGTCTCAGTAAGAACAATGAAGTCGGCGTTGCATGTTTGAATCAAGGAATTCACATCATCTCTCTTTGGGATTAGGCTTCTAATGTTAGTAAACAAAATAGAATGAATAGAAGATATCTTGTTGATAACGTGAGGTTTGGCAGTTTGATTGTGAGTGGGCAAACGCGAAGAACGCCGGCATTGCTACGTACATTTTTCAACAACCGAGCCGATAGCGTCATCGAACACAAAACACTTGCCATCTATGAACAGTTTATCGTGACGCAGCCGAAAAGGCGTTCCCTTTGGTTTGGCAAAATCAAGAAGACGACGTCGTGCGAGCCTTACAGAAAGTGGAAAATCTTCACTAATTGCAACGCGTGAGCCCTTAAGCTTGTGCGCAGAACCAAGAATGCCCTCTTTTTCTTTGAACGATGAAAACTTGACAATGATGGGACGAATTTTCTGCTGATGGAATGCTCCTAACCGGTGAGCTCTTTCAATTCCGGAAGTTAAAACTTCGATACCGAGTTTCTCGGAACACAGGCTTGTGATCAAGCCCTCAGATTGAGCCCAAGTTTCTTTGTCAGTGTCAGCGATTCCAAAAAATATTAGATTAGAACGGCGGGATCTGCCCTCCGCGTCGTCGCAGCGCGCTTTTAATTTAGACAGCTCGTTTAAAGCCTCCGTAAGGTGAGGTGGAGTAGATGTATCGCAATCACCTGTTTCTTTCCGGGAATTCAGTTCACTTGAGAGCTGGTCTACGCGCTCCTCAAGGGCCGAAACGGTCGCTTCGTACCGCTTTTGCTGCTCTGTAAGCTGAGTGACTTCCTGCTGAAGCGTAGAATGACTCGCCTGAAGTTTTGTAACAGTGTCTTTAAGATTATTGAATTCTTCTATTTGGGCTAGAGACATGGGGCCTGGGTTCCTTTCCACATCGCCAGAAAGCAGCAGCAAGACTCTAAGAAACTCGATACAGGCTTTGCATGAAAATACAAAAATGACTGTGTCGCAAGAAAGGGTTAGTAGGCGCTTCATGTCGATGGGGCACGACATTTCAAAAGGTAGGGTGTTATTTGGTTGTTTCCAATTTGCGTTTTGCATGTAACTAACCTGCGTCATGAAGACTGTTAACGCCGGCATGGCTTTGTCGTGCCCCAGCGATTGCAGCGGTGGAAGATGCTTTTGAAGGCAGCCGACGGACGGAAACGGAAACGTCCCACGGTGCGCCATCCTGCGGTTGTTGTCGGTGAGGGACCACGTTGGCCACGTCAGGAGTGAGGCAGCAGGAGCTTCCTCTTGCGCTGCTGAGTCGGTGTTGAACGGGTGCTCCCGCGACCATGACGAAGGGCAGGCCCCATCGCCGTCCGAGGTACTTGGTGATGCCGTGAACAGGAGCAACAGCATCTGCGTCATGAAGACTGTTAACGCCGGCATGGCTTTGTCGTGCCCCAGCGATTGCAGCGGTGGAAGATGCTTTTGAAGGCAGCCGACGGACGGAAACGGAAACGTCCCACGGTGCGCCATCCTGCGGTTGTTGTCGGTGAGGGACCACGTTGGCCACGTCAGGAGTGAGGCAGCAGGAGCTTCCTCTTGCGCTGCTGAGTCGGTGTTGAACGGGTGCTCCCGCGACCATGACGAAGGGCAGGCCCCATCGCCGTCCGAGGTACTTGGTGATGCCGTGAACAGGAGCAACAGCATCTGCATCATGAAGACTGTTAACGCCGGCATGGCTTTGTCGTGCCCTCCTTTCTTAGGGTTCTTTTTTTATTGTACACTTTATGGAAAACATTTTGCCAATAAATTGTGCGCGCCTGAATTTGAGTGTTTTCCAGGAGTTTTTCAGAAAGCCTACAGGTTTTTTTTTAATTTTTTTTTACTTTTAGTTGACAACACTGCTTCAGTCTTCTCACTATATTTATGAATGAAATTGACGTCATATGACCTGTACAGCAATCTAGTTTCCTGGCTTAAACTTAGTGTGGAAATTTATATCACATGACCCAAAAACCAAATCAGTTCCTTTGCTAAAATTAAAGGAGAATATAAGTCAAGTGACCGGACGCCACGTTTCAGATTCACATTCCACTCTAAATTTAACGAGGTAATTCACGTTACAGGGTAAAAAAACAATTTTATTTTACTTTGCTTAATTTAGTGAAGGAATTCCCGTGACAAGACATATTCGACAATTTTGTTTTCCTGGTAAATTTATAAGGGAAATGAATGTCATGTGACAAACACAACAATTTAGTTGCCACAATAAATTTAGCGGGGAAATTGATAAATATATATATTTTTTTATCATTCCCAAAATGACTTTTGAACTTATTGAAACGATAGCTCCTTAAATATTACATTCAATTTATTATTCGAAATTTAGAAATATTCTTAGCTGCGAATTTTTTTTTTTTAGTTAGGTTACGTGCAGTACATTAAAACTCTGTTAGATGTAATGAAGTAGCCTCTCTAATATATTTGGAGTGATCATTTTGTTCATCATGTACAAATTTCAGACATGTTTTGGCAACGCCCTTTGGACTCTCTAAATTTTAGTTGTTGATTGTTTCTAGTCTGAAACGGTGCTGGTTTCTAGTAACTAGTGTCGATCTACAATTTAAAGCACGTGCACGTTAAAACGTGGCGTGGTTAATCAAACAAAACTGGCTGAACCGCCCTCCCCCCCTCATAAAAACAGGCTATATGTCTGGATACCTTCGTAATAATGACGCATTTTAGTATCCATGCAAACATGAATTACTATTTTTTAACTTTAGCATACTGCTTAGAAATTTCAATGTTATAATTATTAGACCAATGCCTAACTGTAAGCCAAGATAATATTACTTTACAAACTAGAAACTTAATCAACAGATTGGCCTCCAGGTAGTTGTAGGCTCGAAAAATAGTTAAAGTTTGCATCACACCAGGCGAAAGATTGCGATATGGTTGATAAACTGAACATAAAGATATAGGTTAAGGTCACTCTTTCAGGTGAAGGTAACTAGGGTGTATCAATACAGCTTTTAAATTTGAGTACAATATATATTATATATTTGTTCATGTAAATTATATACGACTCCTCAAGGTGCAACCTCGGAACGTATGTGCGATAACTTACCTCGTCCCCGCTTTTATTGTAAGCAGGGTGAATGCAAATGGTTTCAACTGTCGCCTCTGGTGCATTCTCCTTAATGCTACTCGAATAGCTTCCAAGCCGAATTTTCGAAAATGACGATTCCCATTCGCTGCAATAAAAAGATACGTTATATGACTAATATTCCGCTTACTACCTAGCGTAAGCGAACATCAGAGCATAAGGGCGAAAACCTTTGTGTACATTACTGTTTCAGTTCTTTTTACAAACAATATTTAACATCAAAAATTTTAATTGTACTGTGCCTTGCCGGACATTTACACTTCACATTAATCTCCATTTGATTTTTATTTGGCACATTCTTCAAGATGTTATTCAGAAACTTTCTTTTTAATAAATCAAACACAGTTTGGGAACGTTAGGTGGGAAAATTGGTGGCAACCAATTACTAACAGAATTATAACCTATTCGAGAAATATCCGGAACTCAAGACTGGTACTGTTGGGTCACATATTGATTAATAAAAAATGTGTTCTATGTCTGGTACTAATTGTTTCCGGTTTGATACTCGTGAACCGGCAAAATACAAGACTAGTGTCAGCAGAATAGCGACTCAACGATCGTCTCTTTAATTATTAAACAAAAGTGCCATCCTCATGGCTAATGCAACACTCGTTTTCTTACTGATCGGAGAAAAGTGCCAACCGAACGTCTCGCTCGATTAGATCTAACACATTCTCGCGAGTCACTTCAGGTGATCAAACATTCAGTGACGCCGTCGATGAGCTCTACCCCTAGCACGCAGTAAAAGAGTGTGCTTCTGACTTTCAGCGCTTCTACTAAGCGTCCGCATTTTTTTTTTTTTAGCGGCAGCTTTTGCGGGCGACATTTTAGAGAGGTTTCAAGCTCACAGGCTTTCGTCGCCCGTTGTGGAAAAACCCTTCTTCCTTTACGTTATGGCACGAGGAGAGGGAAGTGTAGTTTTCCCCTCTGCCGCGCAGGCCGGAGAAAGAAGGCATGCCGCCAATGAGGATTTCATTTTATTTTTTTCATTTATTTATCATGAGGACCCGCTTCCGGGTATTTCACAATGGCAAGTAAGAAGACACTGTTTAAACAAGAAAGGAAAAAATCCAAGAAAAGGAAAACATGGTACAGATGTGAAATGACGATAACAAGTTAACAAGTCAATCTACAATTTTATAACTCGTTCATTCGATCCAAGAAAACAGTGAGAAGTTCACAAAACTTAGATGTGTTAATTTGTAGTACAACGTGGTTGGGTAATGAATATCAATCGTCAGTAACAAGAGGTAGCATGGGATTTGCGAAAAACAAGGATGAAATATGGAGAACTTTAATTTTAGACATCGTCAACCTTAGTGGAAATTCGATCTGGGGCGCTGATAAGGGTTATTTTCATCTGCCGATTGGGATAATACATTTCATGAAGAAGGGCAAATCGGGAGAGCCTTCGACGAAAAAATTGTGTTAGGATTCCAGCCTGATTACGAAGTGAATTGATACCGGCAGACAACTAGTCGTTGTGATTCAGTCGAGCTAAAGGGGCCGCGGCCACATCTAGCACAACGATCTGCATCACATGCGGTGTTGCCATTGCCATTGTCACGGTATTGAGGGAAAGGGGTTCTTCTTTTCTTCACAGCGGTAAGTGTTACTTTTTTATCCCGGAAAACAATGCTAATGTAAGAACACAAAATCCCACTCTACAGGAGAGCCGCTGCAGTTACCCTCCCCGGCGTTCCCCTCACAAACACACCTACAGCGGCAAGACTCTCTCTCGCCCCCCCCCCCCTCCTCTCCCGTTTCTCCCCTAGGCTGCTGCTGTTGATAAACACCCAATAGTCCCTGCTACATCCACGTACCAACACATCCTAGAAGCTAAGGCCGTAGCACTATTCTCGTGACGTCGTAAAGGAAGGCCATCCGGGGCGCGAGTCGAAGCGCGGAAGTGGAGACAACGCACGTGTATCGACCGTCGTGACGACGTGCTTTTAGTCACACGAGTTGCAAGAACATGCCCACAGCAAGTCCTCTGGAGTTGATCTCGCAAGGCGTTATGTTGAACCTCCTAGTTTGCACCACAGACTCGGAGTTGGCAGCTTCAATAGAAACCTCGGTCTACAAAGGAGGTCCCTCGTTAAAGTTCTGTCAGAGAGACCACGTGACGGTTGCTTACAGTTTTCGAGCTTAATGCTCAAGATTCCCGAAAACTCTTTGTACTGGGAATACGGCAAGATGTCATCAAAGCCTCTCACATTTTAAAAGTTGTCACTTAAAAGGTGTGAAGGACAAATTCTTCGAAATTTGATGAGCAATTCTCTAAGTAAATCTCGTTTCCATTCAATAAGGAGTGTCCTACAGCGACGTTTCGACCGCTTTCATATGGCTGGATACCCGGACGAATATGTATTTAAGCAGTTATATAGCTTAGCTTCCCTCAAGGAAAAAAAAAAAGGGACAGGACAGCGAGAAGACGGCGAAGCGAGTGCTTCTCTCCTTTTTTCATAGAATTCTTCAGAATCTCATGTTTACCGGTATCAAATATGGAGTCAGTACAGTATTTAGGGATGATTTAAACTAAGTCGTTTAACCCTGTTTCGTTCAAAAAACACTATAGTTTTAAGAAGAAGCACATACAAAAGGAGGGCGATTGTGTATGTGGAGTGGTGTACACAATCACGTTTGATTGCTTTCTGTGTTACATAGGACAAGCAAAACTTTGCCTAAATTATCATAGAACAGAGCATAAGCGTAGTCTTAAGAACACAGATCAGTGCTCGATTGTGTCGAAACATTTAACTGAGTGTCAGAATTGTATACCCTATGGCAGTCAACGATGGTGGTATACTGTCCGAAAGAGACCAGAAATGGTGGGTGAAAGGGTTCATCACAATTCTTCAGCACCCAAACGCGGAAAAGAAACCCTCCCTCGGTTTGGACATAGAGTTGGAGAGGTTTATATATATTTGTCTATTTTAGGCTGTTCTTTTTTTATTTTTTAAAGTTCTCTTGTTGTTGCTACGTCTCAGTTTTGTTTCAAGCTGGAGGTGACTGATAAGCTTTAACAAAAGTTTAAACACCCTCGTTTTTTAACTTGTTATGGTTATTCTTTCGTGATAGTGTTTTGTACGCATACGTTGGCAGAAAAGTTGTTTCCTTTTTGTGTTCTTTTTCTGCCTTTTTTTTTCAATTTCTGAAGTGGCCTGAAATTTATATATACAGGTTATTTTCTCGCTAAATTTAAGCTACGTTTGAGACTCCTTTTCTTCATATTTTTCATCGTCGTCTTTCTTTTAAGTCTTAGGGGTTATAGTTTATAATGTTCAATCACCATCAAATCGTTTGCGCCCTAAAATTCTGTTCATTATAAGCGTGTCTTATGGACTAAAATTAAATCTGCACATAGCCACAGGGTAGAAAACATTTCATTATACGGGCAAAATATTACACCGCTAAATATTTGCAATCAAATGGTACGAGGTGGGCGTATATGACGTCTACAGAAAAATCTGACTGATTTAAGCCGAAAATATTGAGCCACGCAATTATTGCTGTAGGAATGCATATCTTATACATAACCACGCCAACGAACTCGCGAGACACGCAGTGATTTGACAAAGGGAAACTAATCACACTAAAATCAGGTAAACGTAGTTAACGCGGACACGGCTAGACAAGTGTCACTTACAATCATGTAAGCGATGTTAACGCACGCAGTCAAGGAATTCTGGCATTTTACCCCGGCCGCATGAAAATATCAATGTAATTTCGGTAGAATAATATTATGGGGTCGGCAAATTAGCTCGTGACGCTCATACAGTAATTGAGTGCCGCGAGTGATTCAATCGGATATCATTTAATAAAATATATATTAACTTTCCCGTGCGGCAGGGGTACTAAACTTTCTATTTTCAGTCAACTAATTTACTTCTCCCTTAGGGTTCGAGTTGCCTTAAAACAAAATATAATGTTTTACACAATATTACGATTACCTTAATGTAGCTAGGATTCTAATATAAGCTTGGTAAAGGAAAAAAGAAATAACATTAGTATAAATAAACAGATAAGCGTAACAAACTGTACTTCAATAATCAAACATAAAGTTGTCGTTAACCTTCCAGTGAAATATTGATTGTTGCCACACATATTTACAAATGTTGACGCAAGTGCACACGGATAACGACCAAGAGCGAAATTCCATTACATCACTAGAGTAAAGCAAACAACTGGAGCACTCTACTCGCGTCCTACATGGCCAAGAAACTCAGTAAATTAGTTGCTTTTCACTTGGCGATTGTATTCATACGGCGTCACAGAACAATTAGAACTAGATCCTCAAGATGTCTTTCTCTTTGTCGAGAGAGAGGTTTATCGGTAATCGACCACTGTCATCGTTGAGTTGCTGCCACACATACCACTCACACTGTAGCAGGACTTGCTCTGCGAGTCCTAGTGAATTCTGTAGTGTCGAGAGAACACACACACAAAACACACACACACACACAGGAGAGCAGCGGCGGAACAGTAGTGGGGCGAAGGCTTAACGTCGTAGACTCAAAATGTCTCGGCGTTTTTTTTTTTTCTTTTTCAGAAAGTCAGCAGTTCACACACAACGTAAATTTACCAGAATCAGAGCCCATATGAGGGAAGAAAATGTTGCACCGGAGCCGGCTCATTCGAAAAGTGTGAGGAGCTGCGGGACTCGAATGTGGTTGCGCGGTCACGGGGATAATAATAAATATAATTTCTTTAACTTTCAAACTTGACAGTTGGTTGTATATTAAGTTTGTATTATATATAAATATATATGTTAAGTTATTCAAGATTCCGCATTAAAATTTATATTAATGTCGGATAAATGCGCACGGAAAAACCACGTGACCTGAGTGAGCAGAAGACGCGACCGGGGTAAAGAGAACCACAGAGGGCACCTTTTCCCGGCCTGGCCTCTCTTCCCGGTCATTGCGACGTCACAACTCGGAGCGCTACGGCCTTTGCTCTAGGAGGTGTTGACGACGTACGTATCCTCCAAAGACGCTCTCCCCCCTTCACCCCAACACCCCTTTCCTTACCTGCAGCCTTCCGGCAGCCGCCGTTGCGAAATCCCCTCGTGGTCGTCCCCACCGTCACCACCCAGGACCCCCTCACTGCCCATTGCAAACATGCACACGGCTGAAGGTAGATCTCATTTATTACGCCTTTCCATAACACTTGGTGGGGTCGCTTGCAATTTTTTTTTTGTAAAGCATATATTTTTTGCACATGACTAATATTTAAAGTAAGGGCTTTTTAGTTGCACTATGTTATTACATTGAGAAGTTAAAATCTAATAAAATTCACGTTTCTTACGTTACACAGTGGGCAGACGTCAGGACATATTGTGGGCCAATCAGCACTCCTCCGCAGATGTGCCTGTCTGAAAACCTCACTTCAACTTGCCAGGGCCAAGCTCCGGGAATTGCATCCATGCCGTTTAAAATGCGTCCCTTTATCACGGAGTCTGAATGATCTGGTTGTTTGTTTGAAAGTCCGCAGTTTTCTAAAAATACGAATAAATTAAAAAAGTTATCATATTGTTTTTACTATACCTGGTCCACCAGAGAAAGTAAAACTTGGCTTTTTGAAGACATAAAAAACTCCGCTTAGACGAAAACTTTAACTCCGCCGGAATACAGTGGTAGCGGTATGGATAAAACGCGACAGCCTGAAAGCATGTCGTTACTTGAATTAAAATAAAAAACACAAAAAACCTTAAGTACCTTGGAGGCGAAATCTCCTTAAACTTGATTCGCGAGGCGGCGTCTCCTTAACCTCCTTAATCTTGAAGCGATTCTTAATTATAATCATTGCAGCTTTATTCTGCGGCTTAAAATATGAAGTTATAACCGGTGACTACAGACCGCGTATTCGAAAGTTACAAGGCAAAGCAGGCCGTACCTTAAATCCGCGCAAAACAAAAGTCATGTCGCTGTCGAGAAAGCGTCACAATTTATCTTATGTATATGTTCTAGAAAATGAAATGATCTGTGGGACCACGCAGATGCGAGACCTAGGTGTTCTTGTGGACGACCACCTTCTTTTCCTTTCTCATGTTAACTCCATTATTTGCCAGAGATTGCGCGCTATGAATAATATCTCGCTTAACTAGACCATATATCACTCATCACTGTCTTTTGAGATTATATAGTACCCATGTGCGTTCGAAACTAGACTTTGCACCTGTAGTCTGGAACTGCAAATCTGTAACAGCAAGTGAAAGTATAGAACATGTACAGAAGCGATTTGTGCGCATCATTTACGACAGATATTTTGGAAGAAAGTGTTTTTATGAATATAATTTGATTTTAGCAAAATTAACATTGGTCACCTTAGGTAAAAGAAGGTCTATTCGGGATGTTCAGTTTTTACATAGGCTAATTCATACTGCAATAGACAGCCCTACTCTCCTCACCTGTGTTCAATTTCGCATTCCACTTAGAACGAACTCTAGAAATCCTAGAGTCTTTTACCCAGACCTCATTCGAAACGCATCACCGGTTTCGCGTATCCAACATGTTTTAAACGCGCAATTTACTGACGTCGATATTTTTAGTAGAAACCTGTCTTTTGGAGAACGATAATTTTGATGCATGTGTTTTTAATTGGCATATGTACACGTTTGTGTGCTTGCATGTTTTTTTTTCACAACTCTTTATTTTGTCGACTCTGTATTTTGTGTGTATTGCAATTGTGTGTGCTTAACTCAGTAGGCTTTCGAGCTGTTGGTTAGCACAAGAGAAAAATAAACATTGATTGATTGATTGATTGATTGATCACATCGTTGGAACCAAGTGAAAACGGTTTTGTAGCTAGCCCGAAGATAAATAATCGATTATAAGGCATTATAAAGGTCTTTGTAAGACAAGGGCTTGTTTTTGTTGCTTGTCTCGTTTTATGCGTTTTCTTAACAACGATCTTTTCAATTACCATATCTTGCCAATTTTAGGACAATATGTTCTTATATTATCGCGCTCTGCCATTATTACACAAAGGGGAATGACGAAAGAAGCCTCCCTCTGCTATCATTACATATATGGTAAATCAGGCACACATTTTTATCAATTCAAATAAAGTGGCATACGTGTCACAACCAGTTCCTTAAAAAAAATTTGAATGACATCAAGCATCTTGTTCATGCAAACACGAAAAAAAAAAGTACCTATTTTATACTAGAGTGTTCTATTTCGCAATATCCACTCTAAAGATATCTGTGAATTCACTTCCTGAGCAGGTGGAGACAACAAAGCAGGGCGAACAATAGAAGGATTCTTGGGAATAATGAAGTACAAAAGAAGATTAGATTACAAAAATTATCCCTCACAAGCTCGCGTGCTCTCGCAGTGCGAGCATCATTAAGAGCAATATGCTTGCGCTTGTAGCTTCGGCTTCCCTCAAGTGAAACATTGGAATTCGGATAATATTTTAACATATTTCAAAAGTCGTTGATACATATATTCTCTTTTTATAGTATTGTAATGACGCGTCACAATCTTATGTCAAGAATTGCTGAAAAAATCGTTGAGCAGATTAACCGTTGAAATGCGATAAAATTGTATACTGCGTTGCTGCGGGATAAACGATCAAGACGAGACTCAACGTATTACTGACAGTGAGTCTTGTGATTCACGCTGCGTGCACTACGGACAGTTTACTGACTCGTCGGGGAACAATGCTGAAGGCAGTCGCTCGAAGTGGTCCTTTAGAAGACTCACTTCCGACTGGAACCACAGGGACGGCTCGCACACGTTGCACGCCATGCCCGACAGGTCGTTGAGAAAATGCCCCTTAAAGTGATTGTTGTCCGACACGTACGTTTGTATCCAGTCCCCTTCTCTTCGTTTCGTTCATGATGCTTGTCTCGCCTCCTTGGCGTTCCGCTTTCGTCGCCGCCGATGTTGCCTCTCTCCTTCCGTTTCTCTAGACGTCTTTGCTCGCTCGAAGATCCGCCTGGGTTGCAGTCAAGGGTACCTACATATTTCCTTCTCGCGAGGAGTCTGTCATTTGGCGTCTCGATCGTATACGCAGTAGTCTCGGAACGTCGCTAATGCAGCGCGTCGGCACATGTACGCCGACGCTTGAGAGGTCATTCATTCGACATCTGCTTGCTCTTTGCGGCGGCAAAACTGTAACATCTCGAGGAGCTCTTCACCCGCGGAGTGGAGGGGCTGCGGTGGCACGTTTGTTTTGGTGGTTGGTTTCCGAGACGCTCAAGATTGTAACTAACGAAGTCAATGCCAACTAGGTTGGTCACATAACGAAGACCAGACACGAAAGCGCGAGAACGTTCTTTAGCGAAGTATTCGCTAAAGAACGTTCTAAAATAATTTAACGAGTGAAACCTCTTCGGTCTCTTGCCCAGCTCTAGCTTAGACACCTTAAAAACCTGTTGACACATAATCCACAGTGCTACCTACATAACAATGACGTTGAAGATGCTGCGCTGACTACGCGTCATATTACTTTGAATTTACATTTGTTATTCATGTTCCAGTTTTATGGCTACTACCTATGGTAACTACACCATCTTGGCTAATTTCAGCACATACATAGAATACTGTATAACTACAATACAGAGCCGGCATCGGCATTTTAAATGTGTAATATGTCTTATGTGAATCATAATCAGGTCGATCTCACTGTTTGTGAGCCCACAAAATACACTGATGATGATGATGATGACTGTTGGCACAGCGCTGACATGGCGCTGCATCAGTGATGCATTATCTTCAAACTAATGCTGCATCAGTGCAGTTTCTACCGTACGTATGACGCTGCGAGGTATGTACGAAACAAGTTATGTATAATAAGAAGAATATTAATGCTTTATTTGATTCGTGCCCTAACACAACCAATAAGTTATAATATGATGACACATAAAATATTATACAAAAACAAAAATTCCTAACGATGTCTGCCACTCTGACGAAATATGGCGTGGGTCAATAGCCGAAGAGATATAAATCAAGCTCTCGTTTAAAGACAAAAGAAATTAAAAAAAATAACATCGACATGAGGCGACAATTCACTACCACAAATTTGCATCCGCACCAATGGTGACCATTCCGATTGCACAGAGGGATCAAATACACTCGTTCCTCTGATAGCACGAGCTGGCACATAAAAGCCCAGCGATGACACCAGTTCAGACTTGGACGTAGTTCAACTACTCTACTCAAACTACTGTAGTTTAACTACTTTTTCGAGTAACTTGGTAACTTTCAATTACAACTTGATTTGGGTAATTAGTAGTTTAATTTAACTACTTTTTTCAGGTAACTTCTACTCAAATTACTAACTACTTTCGAAATTATATAGTGCTAATTTTGCCCATCACGAACGTTTGAGCGCAGAAATGAATAAGACGCCGGCAGATAAAGTGGCATTCCCGAACAAGGGGCCCCTTGTTCGGGAAGGCGTCCTTGGGCCAAGGTGGCGATGAGCAGCCAAAACATAACACCGGCACGCACGAACGCAGGAAGAGATGCTTAACAAGCCTTGGTCGGGTATTGACCTAATCCGGTAATGCACGCAGGCGCCGCGTTTCCAGCTGCAACCATGAAAGACGGGGACACTCCGGGAGTTGTTATTGTTTTCGTGTTGTCTGTCTTTAGTGAGTTCTGACTCAAGCGGCAGGTCCCACGGGAGGCGCCACTGGAATGACCTCGCAGCTGGGCTCCTGTTCCCATGGTCGCCTTGTCGTCAGCGCATACGCCTTTGCAAAGCCGGACTCCCCCGCGCACAAACCCTGGCACGGATAATCCGTTCATGGGAGCACGTTCCCGCTTCCAGCTGCAACTGTATACGAGCGACGATGCTTGTTCACGTAAAGGCCCGTTCACACTCTTGCGACCTCTTAAACCTAGGTTCCTTACAACTTCTTAAACCAGAAAACACACTGATGCCATCTATTGGGAAGCAGTGTAAACTCGGCGGTCCGGCATATTTTTTTTTTATTTCTCGCGCATTATCCTTTTTTTCTTGGCTCGAAAAACATTTGTCAATGTTATAAACGAGCCTTTCTATGGGTATTACGCACATTTGACCTCGGAAATCCCACAAAACCTTCGCTCTTGTGAAATGCAGTTCCAGGGTCACCGCATAGATAGCGCCACAATGCCAGTTTGTTCCCTCATTTTAAAAACATTTAGCAAGTTTTAAGAGAACTCGTCTCTCTCAGTCGTACTCGGTCGCACTCGGTCGCAAGAGTGTGAACGGGCCTTAATCCTTCGCGTCCTTCCGACCATCCATGCCTGGGAGACCTCCTCTTTGTTAAAAACGATTCACTTGTCAGGCGTGTCAGCCGCATCAGAATATCGTAGTCGCCGGGGAGGATTGCGAGTTACCCTTGGGAGATCATTTTGTCGGACCCGGCGTCAGCGGTGAAGTATACTTCAGTTCATCGTCTGTTAAACCAAAACAATTTTTTTTTCAGTAGCGTAGCACTAGCACTACAACGGGACGCGCAATCATCCGGATGATCTCATCGTCGTGGCGCGAGACTTCAATCCTTGACGGTCTGGTGCACTCGCTCAGCGTACTCTCAGAACGACGTCGGAATAAAGAGGGGCCAGTCATAACAATCTCAACTTGAAGAAGAAAAAAGAAAGAAGGAGGAAAGTTTGTTACAAAAGATCCTCCTACCCGAGGCAAACCTCACATGTTTAGTCATGGACACCTAAGATGCCGACAATCGCTTACCCGACCCTGCACAGCCTGTTTCTCAAATTCAACGCTGCCGTTCCATCCAGCCCGTCGGTGGAACGTCTATTTAGCTTGGCTGGGGACGTCCTTTAAAGGAAAAGGGGAAAACTCTCCTATCAAGAACTTTGAAGGTCAATTGCTTCTGCGAGCGAATAAACTATTTTGGCGAAAACGCAAGCCATAGATAGACTGCATTTATTTTAGGCTCGCAAAGTTTTTCATTGATCAAAACTGCTGTTCAGTTTGCTACCACAAAAATATAAAAAAGTAACTTCGAAAGTAACTTCAAAGTAACTCGCTACTTTTTACAGTAGTTAGTAGTTTACTCAATTACTATTACAAATACGTAATTTCTACTCTACTCCAATTACTTTTGGCGTCGATACTCAGTAACTTAACTTAACTACCTTTTTTGAGTAATTTGTACATGTCTGCACCAGTTGACTATCTATATGGCATTGAAGAGCTTTATGTAAAAATGAAGCATCACGAGCAGTCCGTCCTTTTGACTAGTTGCGCAAGAATAGTTCCTTAAGAATGTGTTCATAGTCGTAATAACACCTCCTCCCAACAAACCTGTCCTAAACAATTCGAACAAATTATGATGAACCCTTTCGATTCGCTCTGCATCAGTTGCAGTCAGCAAATTCCATACAGCACAGCAAAACGTGAGTCTAACTCGCACCAAGGGGCAAAACAAGTGGCCGACACATAAATAATATTGAAAAAGTTACGCGTTAAGCGTGATACCATTCCCATAACTCGAAAAGCTGAAGCAACAGTCTCGCTAACGACACGTGAAAAGGAACGATTGCTATCAAATAAACGCCAAGGTCACGCACTGTATCAATCCGTCGGATAGTACAATTGCCAAGTATTTATAGGTAGGAAATGTTTTGGGTTTTCTACACACAGTGAGTATATTGGTTTTAACTGGGTTAACAAGGGAGCAACGATCAGAACACCATTCATAAATGCGTAATATATCTTATAAAAAAGCACAGTAATATTTTGATTGAATTATCATAAACAGTTTGATGGATCCGCATATGAAAGCATCTGTGCATTCTTTACGCACAAGTTTATGTCATTGATAAATATAAAAAAAGAAGGGGCGCTACGTTTGATCCTTTGGGGGACACCGGAAGAGGGTACAAGAACTTCTGATAGACTGCTCAATACACGGACACCATTTGGTGATCAGTAAGATAACTATTAAATTAAGTTAAAAGTGGTATTGTTATATCGTATAATAATACTTTATACAAGAGTAATCCATGATTCACCTTATCGAAAGCCTTCGAAAAACCAAAGTAAACAGTGACAGCTTGTTCACGCGCAAGAACAATCAGTGCTATATAATCCAGGAAAGAACTGAGATTTGTTTCTTCTGAGCGACCTTTTATAAATCCGTGGTGAACGGTGCCTAGTTTTCGACTGAAGTAAAAAAGGAGCACGGGTATGTATGGCAATCTCGAAACCGTTTGAAACAGAACACAGCAAAGATGCAAAGCGATAATTCTCTAGCTTTCACACGTCACCGGTTTTGTGCACTGGCACTATAATCGACTTCTTTCATTAAGAGGGGAAAACTTCCTTACTTAATGAAAGATTAAATATGTGCTTCCGCGAAGGGGCAAACAAATCAGCGCAAGCCTTGATAATGAAACCAGGTCTAAGATCGGCACCCACAGGACGAGGATACCAGCATGCGAGGTATGTACAAAAGGCTCTTTCATCGAAATGAGTACGGTAATATTTATAAAAATTGCTACATCTATTAAACGGTTCCCAATAGGAAAAGGCATAAAAACATAGTCAAAGTATAAATTTTATAAAAATTAACTTTACATCAAATTCGACACTCTCAAGAGCAAGGTTTCGGGCCGAAATAAAACCGAAAATCTGATCATAATTGTTATTTTTGACGCAATCGTTACAGATCCAAAGTCAATTGCTTCATAATATAACCTAACAGGAAAAATGAAACCGCTATTTTATGTAGTGGTAACCGGTTCATTGACAACCTTTTCAACTTAATAAAATGTAAACTTAAACTGATTTTGCGGGTGGTCAGGAATTGCAACTTTTAGATACCCAGCGGTGACGTCAGCGGCACGGTGTTGCTATAAATAAAAGGCATCAGCGTGAAAACAGCTCAAAATATTGAGACAAATAAATACATTCCATGTTTATCTGCAGCACGACATAGCGTCAGCAACACAAAAATAAACAAATCGAATTTATAATTTTACGGTTATTGCAATCCAGCTGCTACTTTGTTTCCTTTGAAACGGTACAATTCATGCATTAAATCAACAAATTGTAGATGGATCTACTCCAAATTTTCCAATCTTGATTTTTGGCAGTCTTCGCCAACTTATCAAATTGCGATCATAACCCCCGGGCGGAAAACGCGCTCTGGAAAAAGTACGTGCAACGTATGTGAGATACATACCTGTCGATAAGGAATATGGAGTTGAAGAAAGGCCTTTTACGAACAGAATCATCAGAATCACTCTGTCGGCTCTCATTTTAGAAATTTTCTTGAGTTGAACCCCACAAAGCTTCTTTGCCACGTTCCGCTGAGCCCTACTTAAACATGAAAAGTTTTCCACTTGAGCAATAAATATTGTACTGCCCCTCCCGACGGATATTGTTAAAATAAAACCGACGCAGGAAGAAAAAAATAAACAAACAAAAGTGCAGTGGTGACCTTTTAACGTTATACAGCTTGCAGACTAAAGCGTATAGGGCATATTAGACGACCAGTAAAAATCTGTGTATAAACGCAGCGCGCTGGCCAGTTGCTACATAAGTGAAGACGGCAAAAAAATGTTTAAATTGGAAAAATAAAATAAATACACTTACCTCGTTAAAAAAAAAAAAAAAAACTTTTTAGGCAGTCTAGACCGCCACTTCGCAGACGACGCACGCGTAGTGAAAAGTGCCGCCGACAGATTGCGTACGTGGCGTCGATGGAGCTTAGTAAACACCTCCTTGATTACAAAGCCGTAGTCCTGATAGAGATGTCATCAGCGAAAGCCAACGCTGGCCATGATCAGACACGACGATTTGCATCAACGTTCGGCTTAAACTTGACTCGAAGCCCAGTGCTGACACAGCACTCATTGGCAATCTGAGCCCAGCGTTTGCCTTCGCTGGTGACGCAAAAATGGCATCACTACGGTTTTGTCTTCTTGGCGGTCTTGGCAGGGCCATATATAGGGGAAGACTCTGGACATCCAGTGCCCTCGGTGACCTCTCGCCGCGCCTTCGCCCCTCCCGTACTCCTCCCACAGAACTGACGTCAGGCCCAGCAACCTCCTAGCAACGGAAAACGCCGCGGTCAATCAATCAATCAATCAATGATTCACTTTATTTTTCCTTCAAGGGGTACAGACTCCTCGAAATGGTGCCTTGGCGCAAAAGGCGATCGTGTCGCCTGGCTGGGCACCAAGGTCAAACCAGGGGGGACACATGTCCAGGAGCAACAGCATTAAGGGTTAAACTTCGACAAGAGAAAAAATACTTATACAAGATATAACGGATACACACACACATACACACAACAGAAAAATAGATTGACACATAAAATTGTAAAGAAGGAATACTAGCACAGATTTATGTTGTTTAACATTGTCATAAAAACAAAGATTAAAAAAGTAATTTATGACATCAAGCAAAAATAAATATATAAAAATAAGAAAAGCACTTTCGGTATAAACTTGTCTACTGTTACCAATAAAAAGAAAAAGCGCGGGTAGGCAGAGCCGCGTGATATCCTGTGTACAGATCCTTATTTCTTAGGTTTTCTTGTCAGAAAATGGTCGGTCGTGGTGCGGTTCGGATGTTCCAATCACGGTCGTCACGGTTTTTGTTCTTTCATGATTTCAAAAGAGGGAAAAAGAAACGTCGCAATATATGGTTAAATAAAATCAAGCACTACAATTGTTGACGTCCACGAAGGCTCCCGTGTTCGTGAGGTAAGAATGCTTGTCCCATCTCGAAACTTTCGTTTAGCCGCAGCAGCTTTGAAAACTAGCGAACTATATCTACTACACAAAGATCGAATGTGATGTCTACTGTAAATGATTGCAGCATAACAGAGGGACGTTCCAAGCGGCACAGATTTGGACCATGCATTGGCCAATGGCTGGGGATAGTCTTATGGGCAGTGTCCAAACAGTGGCCGTTCATTGGCCAATGCTTGGCCGACGGCTTATGGCCAGTGGCCTGTGGCCAATGGGTAGAAAAAGGGCAGTCATTGGCCAATCTCTGGCCACTGTCTGGCCGCTGGCCAAAAAACCATTGCCAGTCACTGGCCAATGCTTGGCCTACTCTGTGCTGCTGGGGGTCTCGTGGCAGTAAAACATTTCCCCCCTGCCGTTTTCTCCAAACAGCGAAGTGAAATAATTTATAATTAAATTATTGTCTTCCAATAACTGCTATTTTGTTAATGAAAAACTTAGTTTTGTTATAAGTCTTTCATTAAATGTAATGTAATGACATAACGATGGGTGCTGGTATCTCAGCACCGTTAAAAACGGCCAATGGACTGATTTAAAATCTGTTAAAACGAGTAAGCTTACCATTCGCTAGGAGCCGCCTGACGCCGAGTCGCTCGATGTTTACTTCGCAACCTTCCGTTACGAAATGGACGGCTCAAAGGTTACGACGAACGTTAGTGCCGCCGCCGTTTTGAATGCATGCAAACTAACACAACCTTCATTTACTTTCTTTCTCTCCTCGTAACCTTCCGGCTTCCTTGATGTCTGGAGCATAAAATCGCTATTTCATTGCTGAGTAAGTTCGGTGTAGGCACGCGGTTAGCATGCATGGCGCGACCATGGCATATTACGATAGGGATCGCTTCGATCAATTCATCTTTTTTTACACGCTGACACATGGTCAAAGGGGAAATGCAACCAGGAAGAGATAAAGCTCCGGAAAACTTTCGGAAGGAGGGCCTTAGTTCTATTTACAATCTAACAGATAATTTTCTTCAAAAACACGTGGAACAATAACATTCCCTATGCTCGAATACCAAAAACACTTAATGTAAAGACCCTCAGCCGCGAATTAGAAGTTGATATAGTTGCGCACCACTAAATTTATAGGAGGCGTCAACTAGAATTGAATATTGCGAAATTAACGCGAGCGTCACTTGCACGAAAAAAGAAACCGAGAACCAAGCCTATGTGTATAGGTCCCCGACGGCGGTTGGGCTCGGCCGGAACGGCGGAATGGGCATAGCCATGGCGTTTGCTTTTGCGTGGCGTGTCAGTGACCTAATTCACGAGCTGTCAACGAGGCCACGCCATCTGGCCAAACTCTCCCCTATATCAGGCTCTGCGAGGGAGGGCCGACAAGACGTGTTCTTTTGTGGAATCGTCTGCTATCGTAACCCGAATCGGCCGGCACTCCCTCGGCGCGGCGCGTGCCATCTGTCGGCTGTACTTTTCACTATGGGTGTTTTCCTCCGCGAAGCGGCGGCGAAAGTTGCCCAAAACAAATTTGTGTTTTTTTCATTTTTTTTTTTCATTTGAATGAGGTAAATTTATTATTTACTTTTTTTCACTGGAAACGTCCACTAACTCTGTAATAAGTCTCCGCGCGATACATTAGAAAACCTAATTTTGCGGTCAGTCTAAAATGCCTTGAAAGCGTTAGTTTACATGCTGGAGAATAACAATATACTGAGTTGCAGCTCACGGGCTACTCAATGTACCTACAAAAGCTTGTAGGGGAGGCTTACAGACGAAATCAAATATTTTTTCAAGAGAAGATACCAATGAAACTTTCTTTACTGCTCAATCAAAGGTTTCCCTTCCGACAGGGACATCGCGAGAACGCGGACTCGATATGCGAGATTTAAATTTCTCCTTAATGTATATGCAACACCTCCTCTTTACACCTCTTCCGCGTAGTCGTCGCCATCTTGCGTGTTGCCGCGACAGCCGCGCCTCTGGCGTACGGTTGTTGTGCGCCCATTTTGGTATGCAGAGAGCAGCGTTGTTCCTAGCTCCCGCGTTGTCCCCATTGGCCCCGTGCATCGTATCTTCATTCTCTTTCCTTTAGTGAGTTCTTAATTTGTTTGTTATTAAAAGCGTGAATTGCTCTTGTGTTCTGGCGTGTTTATTCGCCTTCATAGCGCCCGTTGTTACGCCAACAGCGCCGAAAGCTTCGTCGCCAGCGTCACCGGTAATCGAAATCGGAGGTATCTTCACTTTTCCTGAGCACGTTTACCAGTGTTTACTCTTCGCGTGTTGTTGTTTGTGAAGAATGACAGCCTTTTGCGATTGACTAACGGAAGGTTTTTATGCGCGAGCGAGGGCGACCCTGGGCATAGAAGCATCATCGTTTAATCGTAGAAATACTTACAATGGGAGTTGGCGACGCGGGCCGAACGATTTATTGTTATGGTGCACCGTCGAGGTACGATCGCTAGTTACCGAGACATCTGTACTTCGTATGACGCCCAGATGCGTCGGAACTATTCAGAAGATGGGGGTGAAAGGGGGGGCGGGGGGAGCGGCGACGATTTCTCGCCCTCTTTTTTGTATTGTTTCCATTAACGCATTTTAACGGGCGTCGCTACCGAGCAACACACAAAATTATAGTGCACATCCTCGTAGGAATGAAAATCAAAACGTGAGTAGCCAATAACAATCATTACACCCAGGGTCTTAGATTTCCACCACAAGCTGCAAAATTCGTTCTACATTTGACTTGTCGAGGCCTATTGCTGCACTTGTAGATGTCCGTTACTATTCTGCTTATTTGCGTTTTTTATGTGCTGATATTGGTGGAACTCTAATGCCACGAACTACCATTACCCTAATTTTGTGCGGCATCTTTTATTTTCAGAGAACCGCCTTTACCCACATCCAAGCTGCCTAACTACATGGGAGGACAACCTAAAGAAATGGCCAGAAATTCGTTCCCCACAAATAGTGTACGATCTTCTCAAGACCAAGGCCTGCGACTTGGAGGAGCTCAAGGCATACAAGAGCCTCGACTCGTACAACTATGTGCAAAGCGGCCGGGTCGGAGCACTGCTGGTGCATGAGATTGACCCGTGCACACTTCTACTAAAAGGAACTGTTCAAGGTTCACAGTCTGTGAACAGGCCCAATTATGCATGGATTTGCGCGAAGAAAGATGGTGAGGTGATAACTGGTGGGTGCACGTGCGTGGCCGGCAAGGCAAGAGTTTGCAGCCACGTCGGGGCTGTCCTGTGGAAAGTTGACTGTGCGGCAAGTGCTGGCCTTACTGGGCAGGCATGCACCGATGCGCAATGAACTGGAATCAGGGGACCAAGAAGAATGTTGTGCCAGCACGCCTGCACAACATCAGCTTCCGGCTCCAGAAAGGAACTGCCAGGACGGTAGAAAGAAAGGGGACTGAAGTTACAGAACCGAAGCAGTTCCATTCCTTTCGGGACGACCAGGAGCTCCAGGCGTTTCACGCAGCAGCTCCGTTCAAGAGCCTATTCTGCATACCAGGCAAGAACGAGCTATTCGTATAATTA